GGGAACAGGGTCAGGGGAGGGACCAGGAATCCCACGGGAACAGGGTCAGGGGAGGGACCAGGAATCCCACGGGAACAGGGTCAGGGGAGGGACGTGCCCATCAGTCCCACCCCAGCACGGAGGGTCCTCTGGGAACGCCCAGGGACACCCAGGGATCCATCCCACTGTCATTCCCCTGGGACAACGTGCTGGTTTTGGGATGCAGGTACCGGCTTGGGGCACCGTGGAAAAGGACACGGTGGGGACACCGGGAACGCTGCAGGACCAACCTCCTCCCTCAGCTCCAGGGGCTCATCCTGCTCCTCGAGGGGGTGCAGGGACCCCCAGGAGCCCCCCCGGCAGTGCCGTGCCCACCCAGGCCACCCTGACCCGGGACGGTGCCAAGTGTGCCGGGCTGACCCAGGTGAGCCCCGGCACCCCGCGCCGAGCCCAGACCGGGATCAGGACACAGATTTTAGGGGGGAAAAAAACCCATCTCTGAGGCGAGACGAGACAAACGGGAAAAGCGGGGAAGAGCGGAAAAGCCCCGGCGCAGACGGCGAGTTGTTGGCAGGAGCTCGGCGGGACCCCCGCGGGCCCGGCCGAGCCCGGAAGAGTTAAATCCCCGCCGGAGGGTGAGCTCAGGTAGGCTGAGCCTGGGGCTCCCCTCGAGCCGGAGGAGGGGCCTGGCTGACCAGTGCCGCCTCACAAAACCCGGCTCCCCGCCGCTATAAAAGCCGGCTCTGCCAGGCTGGGCGCGCACCGTGCCCGTGCGCCCGGGGAGCGGGCGGGGCGGCCCGGAACCCCCCTCCCCGAGCCCGGCGGGGACACACACACCCCCCTTCCCCCGAGCAGCGCAGCACAGCGCCCAGGACACCCCCCTTCACCCCCGAACGGCTCTGAGGCTCGCCCCAACCATGTCCTTCGCCATGCTGCGCTCGGCGCCCAGCCGCTACCTGTACCCCGAGATCAGCATGCTGTCCGAGGACGAGGAGAACGGCAGCGAGAGCTCGGGCTCGGACGAGAAGCCCTTCCACCTGGACGCCGAGGGCTACGCGCTGAAGGCGGGCAAGAGGCGCGGGGCCAAGAAGGCGGCGGCGGCG